TTCCTCCCAGAGCTCTCACCCCTCCTCCCACACCCAGCCCAGAGCCTGCATCCAGCACCCAAACTTCCTCCCGGAGCCCTCCCCCCTCCTCCCACACCCAACCCCCTGCCCCAGCCCAGAGCCCGCACCCAGCACCCAAACGTCCTCCCAGAGCCTGCCCCCAGCACCCCCTCCCACACCCCAACCTCCTGCCCCAATCAAGGTACCTCACTTTATTTTCATTTGCTTCCCATTACTTATAATTATAGGAGGAGGATGAAGGGGGAAAAAAAAACGGTGGGGGTGGGGAGATGAGAGAGAGAGAGAGAGAATGTTCTTTTTCTTGGCTGGGTCCTTTGGGGGGGAAATTAAGCTGCGCACAGGGCCCCGCTAACTCTAACTCCGCCACTGTCAGTTGGTGTAAATCAGTATCGTTCCATTGGCTTCAGTGGAATGATGCTGATTTACATAAGCTGAGGAACTGGCACTGAAAAGGTTTAGTCTGATGTATTTGCAGGTGGTCCCTAATATCACTGTCCCCTTCCCCCCCCATAAGCATGACATTCACAACACTGACTCCTCCTTCCAGCCCTCTACCCTTATCCACCCCCAAATCCAAAAACAAAGCCCCTACCCCAGGGAAAGCGCATACTCTAGTGAGAGGTGCCCTGAAATCCTCAAGGGACTTCACTGCTATTGACTCTTACATGGAAGGCACTCGGATACTACACTGATAGGAGGCAGTATAAAGCCCTTATAGACAGATAATGATCCAGCTTTTAACTTTTACACTGGGTTTTTTTTCCCCTGCAGTCTGTTTTGTAACAGGAATTGCATCCTTGGAGAGCTTCAGTAGCTCCAATAATAACTCAGTCTCATTATCCTCTTATTGCCCAAGAAAAGCAATTTGGAAAGATTTATGAAGCAATTGGAGCCGAACAGTATTATTCCAACAATGCCCCTGCGCCAGGCTCTCTAACCCCGGTCCCTTGCTTCTGGAGAGCAGATTAGGATCCGTTGCTTGCTGCCCGAAAGTTTAGAATGCATTCAAACTGGGTGGCCTGCAAGTGACTTCCTACCCAATCTGTTCAACAGCTTAGCCAGAAGTCCTCACCTGTAACACACATTGGGAATGTTTGCTTAGAGCCGGGGGAGGTGACCTTCTCACACTCTGCCAGTGAGGGGGGGAGTGAATGCTGTGGCTGGCCCGGGCACCTTGAGATTTCCCACCTCTTCCCCTGTAAATATTGCAAATTTCATTTAGTATTTGGTGGGTGAAGCAAGGAGGGGTACTGGTTACCATGGGTCTGATTTTCCTCTTACTCAGACGTGTGTAGGTCAAGCATAGCTGTATGGAAGTCAGGGGAGTCGCAAGATCAAATTGTTGTAAGAGGAGATTAAGGCATCATATAAATATAAACCCAGGGCCTGGCAAAGCATTTCCCTGGAATTCTCAGGCCTGATTCTGATCTGTGGGTTTGCAACCGTGTGAGCACACCATCCGTGTAATTATATCCGTTTAAATGTATACTGAAGCAACTTTTGTGGATAGACAATGTAAATCAGGAGAGCTGAAGTCTGTGAGATACACGGAGTAAAAAAAAAACCAGTGCAAATCCAAACAAAATCGGGCTTATTGGGTAAAATTTTCTAAAGCGCCTACATGAAAGTCAATGGGAATTAGGCTCCTAAGTCACTTGGAAGCTTTTAAGAATTGGACCCAGAGTGTTTTTAAGGCTAAGCTGTGTGACAGTGTAACTGATCACTTATGCCTTTGATCTGAAGTAATAGCTTTACTGTTACTATTAAGTCACAGTACACCACTTACATAGTGCTTGATCTGCCAGGTCCTTGGGTAAGTCTGTGGGGCTGTTGCCCGTGTGTGTGTGTGTATGTGTGTGGAGGGTACTTGTGAGTGAATGGAAAGCGAAGCGTTAGGTGTGGTCTTCTGCACTGAGCAGCAGTGAGCCTCAGTTCCCTCTCTTTTTAATGCATGAGAGACCGGTGCTCAGTTACTACAGTGGTGAAGGCTATACAAGTGCTTAGGGATGTAGGAGTACAGGGTTACAATGGAGCGGGCTGTGGAGGAAGAATGGGATTGTCTGACGAGAACAGGGGCGTGACCCTATTTATCTTCATACTATTTCTCTCACCTCTTCGGCCTCCTGCTGTTGGGCAGCAGTGACTTGGGGGTGCGGGCGCAGTGCTCTTGTTATTGTAGGAATGGGTTCCTTGCACAGCCTGTCCTGCTCACCTTAGGCTTGTATATGCAGCGCTCCTCACCTGTGCTGCACAGGACCAATCTTGTAGGGCTTCCCCCCGCCCCCTCCAGTGTAATGCAAATAATAACCAATCGACTAATTAGTCATAAGTGAACCCTGAATAACAGAACAGCCGTTGTCAGCTGAGTCTGCTTCTGCCAAGGCTGAAACAGCCCCAAGTATATATGCACACAGACCAAATTCTGCCCACTGCAGCCTTATTGATTGTAATGGGACTGTTTGGTCCCTATGCCTATCATTTGAATAGAATCAACATTAAAAACATAGGGCAAGGTTCATCCCTGGTGTAAATCCACTGACTTCCGTGGTAGCCAGGTCTCCAGATTCCCAGTCCAGTTCCTAATCACTGGACTATGCTGCCCCCAACTCACTCCTTGTAGTTGCAGGGCTATAATAATTCAACTCTATCCAAGCATAGGCGTGATTATAATATATTGCTTTGCTAGGTTTCACCCCAGGACCAACCTTTACCAGCTCACTGTGGTTACAAGTGTAACAGAAAACTTTGATGAATGCCAGGGAGTTCAGCACAAACTACAGATGAGCAACAGAAGCTGCAAGATTTCAGGAGATTCTCTTTTCTCAGTTTGGCTGTGGGAGTGCCCCTGTGTGGACACTTGGTGTATTGTGCTAAACCCATTCTAGCGCTGGTTGAAATCTTCACTATAGTGTGTGTGTGTTTAAGGTCTGTCTGGCTTTTCAGATGTCTTAATAATACACGATTTGTGGTTTAGACCAGGTTTTTGAAGGGGAGTGGAAAACAGGATAGATTTAAAGGGAAGGGAAATGTAATGCCCTCCCAAATTGCAAATCATTCTACAGAACAGTGCAGCATTTGGCTGTGGGCTGAGTATATTTTAAATAAGCCAAGAATTCTAATGGGGGGGGACAACTTTTGAATGAATTGTTGCCAGCAGACACCAATATTGTAAAGAGGCTGACCCTGCAGGCATCAAGCTCACAAAGCTCTCCTGGCTTGTGTGTGTGTCTGTCCGTCATAGGGGATTTGGATTGTGCAGTGGCTACTGGATTAAGTCCTAGAGTGTGATCCTGCAGAGACTTATACAGTTGAGTGATTCTATTTTGCATTGCTCCTGTGAGTAAGGCTTGCATGGTAGTGCCTGTAGCTTGCTACAGGCTCTAAAATAAGCTCAACGTGGCGTTGTTTGTGATTGACAGTTGACAGCAGATGATGTCTGCCCTCCCTAGGCATTGCCAAAAGCCTTAAAAATGCTCTGTCTGTCTGTCTGTCTGTCTCTCCCC